AACTGTATATTAGCAGTTTGATAGCCTACATGCTAACAGTGCCCACCACCCATCAGTCACATGCTAACTGTACATTAGCAGTTTGATAGCCTACATGCTAACAGTGCCCACCACCCATCAGTCACATGCTAACTGTACATTAGCAGTTTGATAGCCTACATGCTAACAGTGCCCACCACCCATCAGTCACATTCTAACTGTACATTAGTAGTTTGATAGCCTGCATGCAAACAGCCCCCACCACCCATCAGTCACATGCTAACTGTACAGTCCCACTACTCATTAGTCACATGCTAACTGTAGCAGTTTGATAGCCTGCATGCTATCAGTCCCCACCACCCATCAGTCACATGCTAACTGTACATTAGTAGTTTGATAGCCTGCATGCTAACAGCCCCACCACTCATTAGTCACACGCTAACTGTACATTAGCAGTTTGATAGCCTGCATGCTAACAGCCCCACCACTCATTAGTCACACGCTAACTGTACATTACTAATTGAATAGGCAACATACTATATGGTTGCCAGCTCTCACGCATCTGGTGTGATACTCACTGTGTCAGGCGGGCGGTCACGCTCATGCAAGAAATCTTATGGCGCATCTATATAATTCCATTATAAACCTAAAATTAGCTACGTCAAAAGTGTTGGGGTGGTTTGCAAACCTTATGGACTGTTAACAAGATAATAAAACTGTTACATACATGTAAATGCATGCACAGACTTGTCCTAAATTGAAACTATCACGCCAGCCAGCGGACCAAAGTTGGCAACCCTGATGCTAACAGTCCCCACCACCCATCATTGACATGTTAACTGCACATTAGCAATTTGATAGCCTGCATGCTAACAGTAGTCCCCACCGCCGATCAGTCACATGTTTAGTTGTGCGGCCACTATACTGGCGTCTCGCCCACAATCTTGTTTCTTTTTGATTGCTGCTGTTACGCATTCAGACCTTCTAGGAGCAAATGGCACTGTCAGGTGTGTCGGCGCATATCTGAAGAAACACCAAGTACAAACTGTACCCATAATACCTCACAGTACACCCTGCACCACAGTACAGAGCCATATTTCCTATGCTGGCAATCTTACAGTCCTCCTAGTTTGAAGGTGCTGCTCATTCCTCTTAACACGCCCTTCTGAGACCCTGTGCTCACTCCTCGTAACACGCCTTTCTGAGACACTGTGCTCACTCCTCGTAACACGCCCTTCTGAGACCCTGTGCTCAATCCTCGTATCACGCCCTTCTGAGACCCTGTGCTCACTCCTCGTATCACGCCCTTCTGAGACCCTGTGCTCACTCCTCGTATCACGCCCTTCTGAGACCCTGTGCTCACTCCTCGTAACACACCCTTCTGAGACCCTGTGCTCACTCCTACTGGTAGCAGCCTGGAGGAGTATGTTTTCCTTTCTGATTTTTTTTTAATGAACCATCCACACTTGCCTGGAATGTAATAATTGTAATTAGGCAGTGATGTTTTCTGAGCATTAGAGTACAGAATTTAACTAGTGAATTAGGGAAGTCAGCAGCGGGACAGTGTTAGCTATTGGCGCTGTTAAACAGAGCTATGATGATTACTCATTTTACACCTGTCCTTGGAACCAAACATGAAAACAAACAGTAAAAGTAATTTGTGGAATATAATTAGTGAGTCATGGTGAATTTGAATTTGTTTTTTGCCCTTTAGGAATAGAGTGGGATTGATTTTTTTCTTATTGAAGATGATTATCAATTCTAATTAAGTAAGCCAACAGAGGCAGAGATATGGAGGTGAGGCGACAGAGATCGGAGGAGAGTCTCACACAAGAAGCTCGTTTGAAAAGAAGGCAACTGGAAAGTTACCCAAAGAAACAGGACCTAGTATCAAAGAGGGTATGGGGAATAAGAGGAAGATGCGACCAGGCATGGAAGGTTTTTGAGAGGGGGAAGTGGATGGGGCTGGGTCGATGGTGGCGTAACAGATCGGAAAGCCATGTGGAATGGGCATGAACAGGGTTGAAACCGGAAAGACACTGAAAGAACTAAGGACGTGATAAGAATGCACCAAAACAAAGTGAAGGCGAACAGCAGGGGGAGATGTTTCTATGATTTCCATATGACACAATACATACAACGTGGAAATCTGTGTGCCAGTTAGATCATAGTCCACTTTGCGCACCTTCATTTAACATGGAATCTTGGGAACAGACTGAAAGTACACTCAGTCCACTCCAGGGAGGAACTTGGATACCCATAATGCATAGCACCTGCAGAGCCCCTTTCAGAATATTAAATTCAAAATTGTGGAAATACTGTGGTGATGTTGCAGTTAATGCTGATGCTTAACTGATTTCTTTCTTTTCTTTCTCCCCTTAGGAATCTTTTAGATAAAGATACATTCTCCAAATCTGACCCACGTGAGTCAATTTTTGATACATTTATACATTTGTGAAATGCAGCACTCCCGGGGCCTTCTTCTGACTGGGGTAACACTTATAAAATGGGAGCTCCTGTATGTTCTAGTTCAAGAATGTGTAATTAATGACAGCGTATGTTGATCCACTTAAATAGTCGCATTGTACAATTTTTGCAAGTATTCTAACACAAGCTGAATTTTCTTAGATGTTAGTTTCTATGGATGAACATGCAAATATTTGTGCTATTGGTAAATCATGTCATATGATTCATTTAAATTCTCTGCTCCCAAAGTGAAGTCCCAGAATTAACCGTATTAATGCCTCACTAGCAGTAACTTTTCACCGCACCTCTTCAGTAAATCCCAACACTTTTAAGCCAAAAAAGGTCCGTGCTAACACATGTTCTCTTTCTGGCTTTGGGTTCACTTTTCTATGATTTTTTAAATAATTTTCACAGTCCTGAAGGAACTTTGAAACTTGTAGTGATTAGATGGGTTTGTATGATTTTATGACCTGTATTGTATTCACCATTTATATCTTATTCTGTATTTAACTTAACATTCCATCTACCTGCTCAGGGACTATGGGCTGAAAATAGCAATACTTGCTAAAACCTGGTACAATGCATCTTTCCTTGTTTTGTATAAGGTTATGTTTTATTTTGCACTGTCCCTGTTTAAATAAATAAAAATTAATAAATAAAAAAATTCAAAGAATGAGTATGACCTTCATTGCCATTAAGTTAGTTACATTCAATTCCTTATATTTTCCTTGCAGGTTTTCATAATTACTTTCCCACTATTACTATTTTCTTTTGGATTTTCCAGTATAATATGATATTAGTGAATAACTTTTTCTAATCTAATTTATCTTGAACAGCTACTTTATAACCCCCTGCCTTGTACCTTGTGCTTCCTGTGAAAGACTCCAGTCTCACCATTGCTCTGTGCTGAATAAGATGAATGGAGAGAATTATATTGAAATAAATCCATTCATCTCTGTCATTTTTTAGGAACCACTTACATTAAGTTTTATGCAGGCCTTGGTCTGTATGAGGAGTAGCGAGTAACCCTGGGTGCAACCTGGACAGGAGGCCAATCCACAAAAGGGAACTCGCACATATTCAACACATTATTTAAGAAAAAAAGGGAGAATGAGAATATGGGGTGGAGCCTGAGACTAGCCACACAGAGTAGGCAGGCAGACTCAGACACACACGCAGACAGATGCAAACACCGACACACACGGCCTGGGCAGAACGGAAACGAATGGCACCGGTGCTCAGAGACACTGCCAGTGGCAGAGCCCCCGAGGCTTGTATGCTGTTTCCTTCTCCGGCAGTATCTTTTTAAACATGGCACTTTGTAAAGGAGGGGGTGGTGCTACAGAATCAGACCAGGGCATGGAGCCTCTTCAGTAGGTCAAAGGTCGCATGCATCCCCGGAGAGATTCATTTTCTTTCTTCTCTCTGTTTACTTGTCAATGTGTTTCGTCTTTCTTGGTCGTATCACCTGGGGCACAGTTAATATGCTGGCATACATCTGAACCAAGGGCTTGGTACTAATATATCAATCCATCCATCCATCCATCCAACCATCCATCTTTCATATCCAGTACTTGGCTGGGTCACATTGAGACGGCACAAAGCAGAGTAATAATTATCTAAAATTTGAGTATACTTGTTTATTTTGTAGTAAAGGACATGAATAAAATATGCATCACTCACCGAGAGATATAGTGTAGAAAGACAACTTTGCTCACCAACTGCGATATCCGTAGTTTTATATAAGTGGCTTAAGTAGGAGCTATTGGGGATGTTGATTTTATTTTTCTGCTACGATATTAGGCATCAAACTAGACAAGAACCCATTACACTCCTAAGTGCAGATGAATATTGCTATTACAAAGGCAAAACACATTATTTAAAGGTAATGAAGAAATGCAAATTCTCAGCACAGCAGAGAGACAACTATCCAGGCTTGTAACATTAACTGCAGATGAGCTGCAGGATCACGGGAAGTTTAGAATCAGGCACAATGACTCCAAGTAAAGTCAGGCATTGGAGCTTAGGCAAGCACTTAGCTGGTCCGGCTAAGAATTCCAGGAGGAAGATGACATGTTACGGTCCGGCTAAGAATTCCAGGATGAAAACAGCAGTCTGGCTAAGAATTCCAGGAGGAAGATGGCATGTTATGATCTGGCTGAGAATTCCAGGAGGAAGATGGCATGTTATGATCTGGCTGAGAATTCCAGGAGGAAGATGGCATGGGACTGCTTGGATTTCATCATGTCCAAGGGAATAGGAGACAGTTTGATATTGGGGGTGGGGCAGTTAATTAAATACAAAGGTCTATTTATTGGGGTGGATGAATGAATCCAAATTAAACCCCCCGGGTTCCTCTGCCCATGACCAAACAGCTGCGCTTCGGAAATCCAAAAAGTTCCAAAAAGCAAAACTTGTTCCAAGAGCATTGTTTGCCTCTTGTCTTGTTCGTTTGCACTTGTGTTGTGTGCATGACATTTTTTCTTATCATTATTCCCTAAGCAATACAATATAACTATCTTCATCACATTTACATTGTACCAGTTATTATAAGTAATCTGGAGATGTCTATGGGAGGATGTGCATAAGTTATATGTAAATACCCTGCCACACCACTTTAAGTAAGGGATTTAGGCAGACGGATCTTGTTATCCACGGCGGGTCCTGGAAACAGTCCCCCGCAGATACCACGGGAGGACAGTACATGTCGAAATAGAGACTTGCCTATAATCACATAGTCAAACCTTTTGTTTTTCATCACTGTTATATTTATGGGGAAAGGCTAATAAATATCTTACACTATATTTCTGAATAAGATTTAATACTGTATAATCGAACACTTAATAATCGAACATTAACTGTGGTGGTAAAGCAGTTGTTATTGGGATTCATTGTCCGTGTGTTTCCTAACAGATGGGTCCGTGGACTTTGCTTGCTGAGCTTATCTTTCCCTGACATGCTTCTGACTTGCTCTAACCTGTCCTTGCTGTCCCCAGTCTGTGTCCTGTACACACAGGAGGCGGAGACTAAGCAGTGGAAAGAGGTAAGTGTATAAGCACACACACACACACACACACACACACCTCCACACGGACGGCACAAACACAATAAGTATGACACCGAATGGACTTACAGGTTCATAAACGTATATTTGGAGAATCATCTTTAGTGCCGACCTTTTAATCTGAATACTTTGCCTTCACTGCGATGTAAGTTTATGCCACACCTCCACACATCTTTTTTTATTTTATTTTTTTGCACAGAATTTTTTTTTTTCTTTTGATTTAAAACGCCACCTCCTCCCAAGCTTGTGGGTTAGTATTATTGAATCAGTGTTATATTGGAGCCTGTGGGTTGACCTTATCTCTGCATTTCAGCATTTTTCATATTGATCCTCTTTTTGGGAATTAAAGTGCTTTAGTCACTATTTGTCCTGTTCTTATCTGAAAAACCTACATAAAATCAGGGATTATTGCTGGTGCACTTTGCACTCATTTTTGCTCTAATGCTGTCTCTCTGGCTAACTGCGTGCATACGGATTATTGCTGGTGCACTTTGCACTCATTTTTGCTCTGATACTGTCTCTGGCTAACTGCGTGCATACGGATTGTTTCTGGTGCACTTTGCACTCATTTTTGCTCTGATACTGTCCATGGCTAACTGCGTGCATACAGATTGTTGCTGGTGCACTTTGCACTCATTTTTGCTCTGATACTGTCTCTGGCTAACTGCGTGCATGCGTGTTGTGGGTGATGTCTTAGTGTGCTACACAGACTCAGCATAATGCCATTTATTTACAGGCAAATATATAGGGGTGAGGGGTAATTTGGACAGTTTTATTTGTTGTTTTATATACCCTAGTTGTTTAATTTCTTACTCCTCTGATATAATAACCGGACCCGGTGTGGCTTACAATAGAAGAGATATTCCATGAATCCCCATGGGGATGATGCTCTTCATGCAGCATTCACAGCAAAGGGCAGCCACCTTGCGGCACCTAGGGAGCTTGGGCGGGGGGGTGGCTAAAGGCCCACTGACACGTGACTGTTGTGCCGAGGACGGACTCCAACCAGCGACCTTCTAATCACAGGCACAGTGGGTGTGAGCTGCACACAGCCCCCTCCTTAACTAGTCACAGGCTGCAGAAAGTGCACTTGGGAGCAATGCATGCTTCATAATGCTATCTGGCAGGTGACCAGTTTCCCTGTAAATCTGCTCATAAATATTTATAATGGGGAGGACCTGCATATTCATTTCAGCTGTCAGTTGCAGTGGTTCTAGGTCATTTTGACAATAATTGGATCCACTACCAAACAGGTCAGTATTGATTTTGTCAGACATTCATGAGTACATTTAGGTGCAACTGCAGAGGGGTGTAGCCAGGGACAATATAACCAACAGCTGTCTGTTGCTGTTCATCATGTAAGCTTCAGAGCTCAATATTCAGATGAATTCAGATGACAAGCTGTCACCCCCCACCCAACCCCCCCGTTTAGCATCATCTTGTTGATGAAATTCCAGAATTAAGTCGACAGTGTGTCTGTCATAAATTTATAACCAATCATTGGCATAAAGGTCATCATGCAGGCCGCCACAATCAGATTGTTGGCCACAGTTTGACAAATTTGCCGCCTTTTTCTTTCTTTTACTCTGTAATTCCCTTATCAGTTGAGTACCTCTGAAGGTCTGGCTAGTTTTATGTTGTGTGCTTTCCAGGAGCCGTGCTTTGGCACGTAACCAGCAGCACCTGTGTAATTTACTACTGCTGCAATTTTCACTGGAGACTTTCCATGGGGAACCCTGCCCTAGTGATTTATCCAACAAGCTAATAATAGCAACTTTAAAACACCATTAATAACATTAAATCGTCGTCAGCATGGCTGAGGAAGACCTGCAGATGACCTTAATCTGGCAGGAGCTGTGATCCCTGGGTACAGGTTAAGTGCTAAGTGGCTGCAAAGGCAAGCCCCGGAGCACTTCGGGGCTAACCGATTGTTTACATATGGAGGCAGTACTACAGGGTCAGTCAGTGTGGGGCAGTGTCATAGAGTGGCTGTCACCCAGCATCCCCATCTTCTGTCATTACTTTGCCACCTGTTTGTGTGGATATGTAGGCTGGGTTAATCTCTGGTGCATCACGAGCAGTAGAGCTTTCTATCGTGTCCTGGAACATTTTCTGGTAGCAATCAGATTGGCATCTTTTCACAGCTGAATTCCCTTGTGGCCCCTTACCCTCCTTTTGTGAAATGCTTTGCTATTTTGGTTTCAGGTATTTAATAGTAAATTAAATGTTTTCATTGCATACGCTGAAAGCACATACTGGATAAACAATTAAGAAAGCTTTCCAAAAAAGTATTTCCAATTATCGGGGACAATCATTGCTCTCAGATCAATAAAACTGAATTTCAGACCAAATTGGTTAGTGTGCAGCAGCCATGAAATTGTGAGAATCTGCTGAAGGGTTACTTCTCCATTTTTTTCAGGCAAATATGAAATTCAAAATGGCATATAATAAAAAAGTAATGTAGCGTGAAATTCACAACACAAGTGCAAACCCCAAAATCCACCCCCCCCCCCCCCCCGCTTGAAGGCGGGAACACCATCGTGTCTTCAGACATCATCTCCATGACGACCATGTCCTGTTGAACTGGCAAAGCTAGAAGCCAGCATGAGGTGTCCATAAACTCAGGAATATTGCCTGCCATGTAATCCTAAAGTCCTAAAGCAAGGCCAAGCCAAAGCACTCTTAAAGGAACATTTTCTTTAAATTAATGTGCAATAAAAATATATTGCCACAGTGGGAAAGTGAGACAAGCTGATCCGCAAGGTAATGAGATATACATCGTTTATTATACCACTTATGCATTTATGTGAATTTGCATGTGGCAGTGTGCAGTGCTAATCCCATCAATGCTATCATTTGAAATGGCATTCGGTTAGCCATAGCATCACATTGGGAATCTTCATTTTCCATATTTTACGTAAATAATTTTTTATCATGGCTAAAAATCTAGTTTTTGATCCCAGTGCACTCAGTTTTATAACATCCTTAAAGCGAGTCATCATTGTCTTAATTTGGGCCATTTTATTAACTGTTGAACATCTGGCTAATGAGTCTTTGTCACCAAATGCTGCTGTGACCCCAGCAACCTTGCTGAGAAGAGACAGACCAACACTTTGTGGACAAACAGTCCAACTTGATAATCCAGAAGATGGGATGCAAGACCACTGCCTGCCAGCTGTTAGCAGTGTAACAATACAGACTATTCACAATTTGCTTTGATAGACAAATTTAGGGGTCTTATGTCCTTTTTTTATTTCTTTTAGCCATGTATATTTGCAAAAAGCTGTTCTCCAACCATTAAATTTTTTTCTTGCAGTTTTTCCCTTATTCTGCAGACTCCAGGACAAAATGCAAGAATCTCAAAGCAAAACTGAGATTATGTCTATTGCGGTCTCTTGCATTAACATTAATAAATGATTTCATTCTATGGTGTTACACCCCTACAATGCATATCGTCATATTTTTGAATTAGGAAATATTGTGGCATGGTGCATTGTTTCACCCCTAGCAGTTGCTGGTGTGCAGACCTGAACCCATCATGAAGACGTGTTGTGTCCCACCACAGGCAGGGATGCTGTATGGTCCCCTAAGTACCCATTAGGGGCTTTGACTCTCACATCTGTGCATGAATTGCAGTGTAATGTATGGAAAATCCAGTCAGATCATTTTACATTATCTATTCAAATTACCTCAAACCAGTGTGGCCGACAGGGCGAGAGACTGGGTCAGGAGTCCCCGGGCCCTGGGTCAAGGCGGGGCCAAAAGGGCCCACTAACCTTTAAATGATCTGCTAGAATAATTTGCCAAAAATACATAATTGTGAAACCTTTATATAGTACAGTGGTACCTCAGTTCTTGAACTCATTAGAACTTGAATTTCTTAAAAGTCGAACCAACCAGTTCGAAAAAAAATGACCTAGAACTCGATCTGACATTAAGTCGAACTGTGAACGCCGACCTAAGATAACTTGTACGCGTGGGGAAATGAGTCACACGACACGTCTCAGCGGAAACAAAGGGTAACGCTTCAGTCTCAACCTTGCATTTACTGTGATAGCACCGAGCATGTTTACACTAGCTGAATACATATATTTAGACAGTAAAAATACATTTAGACAATGAGACAGTAATAATTATTATATGATAAAATACATTTAAAAATAAAGATTTCTTATTATTTTAATATTAATAATAAACCATTAATGCATTTAATAATATTGTCGTGCTGCGTGGAGACGGAACGGAGACAAAGGGGGGATCCCACACGGGGCTAATGAGGAGGCGTGGCACACGGAAGGAGCGGAAGATCTGGGCAGGACACATTGTTTTTTTTTTTTTTGTTTTGTTTTTTTTTTTTAACTTTACACATTGTTTGGATACATTTATTTTCTTAGTTAAAAAATTACTGTTTTGATAAATGTGCTTAGATGTGTTTAGTACAGTATATGCTTTTCTTTTTTTGTCTGGTTCATTTTGTGTTTAAATGCTAGAAAAAACATATTTCGGTGTAATTTTTTGGGGCCGGTGTTCTATCAATATATGCTGCCTTGTCGAAAAATGCTACCGTAGTGCTAATCGATAGCCCTAACCCCCAAAACCCCCTAAAACCCTAACCTTAACCCTAACCCCTAAAACCTAACCCTAATCCCAAGACGGTGGAACTGCACATGCGCAGAAAGGCTCGATAGCACGTCTCGATAGGTAGGATTTTATGACAGAACACCGGGAACCAATTAATTGGTTTTTCCATTATTTCTTATGGGGAAAATTCTATCAGAACTCAAACTTTTTACGATTCGATCCGGAGTTCTGAACAGATTAAGTTCGAGTTATGAGGTACGACTGTATTTCTGAATCATTTAAAAGCTCATTATTTTTATCTTCTTAATTTTCCTTGACGTGATCAATAATCATTTTACTTTCCCTCCCTGTAATGCAAAAAATGGTTTGGTTTGCTCTTTTAGTGCTGGTCTTTCTAA